GGGGAAACATTGGGTCACTGCTGGGGGGAGACAGTGCTATCAGGGGAAACATTGGGTCACTGCTGGGGGAGACATTGCTATCAGGGGAAAGATTGGGTCACTGCTGGGGGAGACAGTGCTATCAGGGGAAACATTGGGTCACTGCTGGGTGCTATCAGGGGAAACATTGGGTCACTGCTGGGGGGAGACAGTGCTATCAGGGGAAACATTGGGTCACTGCTGGGGGGAGACAGTGCTATCAGGGGAAACATTGGGTCACTGCTGGGGGAGACAGGGGAAACATTGGGTCACTGCTGGGGGAGACAGTGCTATCAGGGGAAACATTGGGTCACTGCTGGGGGAGACAGTGCTATCAGGGGAAACATTGGGTCACTGCTGGGGGGAGACAGTGCTATCAGGGGAAACATTGGGTCACTGCTGGGGGAGACAGGGGAAACATTGGGTCACTGCTGGGGGAGACAGTGCTATCAGGGGAAACATTGGGTCACTGCTGGGGGAGACAGGGGAAACATTGGGTCACTGCTGGGGGAGACAGTGCTATCAGGGGAAACATTGGGTCACTGCTGGGGGAGACAGTGCTATCAGGGGAAACATTGGGTCACTGCTGGGGGAGACAGGGGAAACATTGGGTCACTGCTGGGGGAGACAGTGCTATCAGGGGAAACATTGGGTCACTGCTGGGGGAGACAGGGGAAACATTGGGTCACTGCTGGGGGAGACAGTGCTATCAGGGGAAACATTGGGTCACTGCTGGGGGAGACAGTGCTATCAGGGGAAACATTGGGTCACTGCTGGGGGAGACAGTGCTATCAGGGGAAACATTGGGTCACTGCTGGGGGAGACAGTGCTATCAGGGGAAACATTGGGTCACTGCTGGGGGAGACAGGGGAAACATTGGGTCACTGCTGGGGGAGACAGTAGACATGGTAGTGGCAACAAAAGCTGTCAATGCAAGGCCAGCATGCTGCCCCACCCACCACCACACAGAACAACATTGTGTCACATGCTAAGGTCCGTTAGTCACCGGTCCAGGTACGGGTCTATTAGTCACAGGGTAGGCCTCTAACCGAACCATTTAGGTGTGTCAAGTACACCGATTAACTGGACAAACGTGTGCTAAGACTATCTAGAATTTAACGAATCCCCCCCCCCCATCCCAATGTAAAACTCTTTCCAACATTAAATTCACACACTACAAGATAAACACACAAAATTCGATAACTATAGTGTTTTATCTTTTTTTAAATAGTTGTTTCTTTTCTGCACGAATACTAACAACTGATATGTGATATTTGAATTAAAACACCCTACACCCCTCACTCTCACAAAGTTGGTATATTCCAAACACATAGGATTACACATCTAGAGAGGTGTGTCCAGTAAAACACATTTAGAAAGGTGTGCCTAGTTGAACACATCTAGAGAGGTGTGTCAAGTAGAACACACCTAGAGAGGTGTGTCAAGTAGAACACACCTAGAGAGGTGTGTCAAGTAGAACACATCTAGAAAGGTAACACGTCAACTAGTTGTACAGGAAGATAGTGTAGAACACATCTACAAAGGTAACACACCTATCAACTAGCTATACAGGAAGATAGTGTAGAACACATCTACAAAGGTAACACACCTATCAACTAGCTGTACAGGAAGATAGTGTAGAACACATCTAAAGGTAACACACCTATCAACTAGCTGTACAGGAAGATGGCTGTCCCCTGGTGAGAAGAAGCAGGTATGTCACCTGTTGACGTCTGACAGGTCTATTGACCTAAGCCTAGCACTAGGCTAGTAAATCACGGCATGTGTCAACAGCTCGTTAGCATGGCTGATGACCAGTGCTAATAGACACACTGATGACCAGTGAAAATAGACACACTGATGACCAGTGCTAATAGACACACTGATGACCAGTGCTAATAGACACACTGATGACCAGTGAAAATAGACACACTGATGACCAGTGAAAATAGACACACTGATGACCAGTGTAAATAGACACAGTGATGACCAGTGCTAATAGACACAGTGATGACCAGTGTAAATAGACACACTGATGACCAGTGTAAATAGACACACTGATGACCAGTGCTAATAGACACACTGATGACCAGTGTTAATAGACACACTGATGACCAGTGTAAATAGACACACAGATGACCAGTGTAAATAGACACACTGATGACCAGTGCTAATAGACACAGTGATGACCAGTGTAAATAGACACAGTGATGACCAGTGCTAATAGACACAGTGATGACCAGTGTAAATAGACACACTGATGACCAGTGCTAATAGACACAGTGATGACCAGTGTAAATAGACACAGTGATGACCAGTGCTAATAGACACACTGATGACCAGTGCTAATAGACACACTGATGACCAGTGTTAATAGACACACTGATGACTAGTGTAAATAGACACACTGATGACCAGTGCTAATAGACACACTGATGACCAGTGCTAATAGACACAGTGATGACCTGTGTAAATAGACACAATGATGACCAGTGCTAATACACACATGACCAGTGTTAATAGACACTGATGACCAGTGTAAATAGACCACTCTGAAGACTGATAACCACTGTAAGCTTTGAATGACTGATGACCAGTGCTAATAGACACAGTGATGACCAGTGCTAATAGACACACTGATGACCAGTGTAAATAGACACACTGATGACCAGTGTAAATAGACACACTGATGACCAGTGTAAATAGACATACTGATGACCACTCTGAAGACTGGTAACCACTGTAAACTTTAAAATTAAACTAGCTGGACTATTCTAAAAGACTAAAACCAGCACTCCAATGCAGTTCATCCTAGAAGAATCTAGGCTGACTATAGCACACTCTTCAAACAATAGAAAATCTTTCTATGTATAAGCAAAAAACAAAAAAATCTGGGTGTGATATTCCAAGTGGTATAGTACAGTACACAATGACTAGTAAGCCTTATCAGCTATCACTTCCCCCTGTAGAGAATATTCCAACACCAAGGTATCTTGGCCAGCAAGACTAACAATAACCAGGCCTGACCTGGGCTGGTGTCAAGGGCCAAGTTTATTGTGCTGTACACTGTGCTAATTATTACTTACCTGTTGCATGCACAATGTACATTCAGTTATTATAGGACTAGGTTTTCAGGTTAAATATTTTAAGTTTTTGTTACCCCCCCCCCCTCCATGCACGCACAAGGAAGAATCAAAGTGTGATTGTTGTGCTACTTAATGTAACAATAATAGACTTTAGGCCTAATGTTGGCTGGAAGATGTGTGGGAGATGGGGCTTGGGGGAGGGGAATGATAAAAGAATGAATCAGATGTCCCCATGTCAACCTAGCCTGCTGGAGCAAATCTGCTAAGAACAAAAGCAACAGCCTGTTACTGTTATGTGCAGTGATATCGTCTTGTGGGATCAATTATACAAAGATATGTTTCCCTCTCCCTTCAACCTACTGCTCTGATTTTCTGTTTTCTCTGTTGAATTTTCCCATCAATTATTTGAGACAAAAACACCAAACTCCAACAGCTATTAACCAAACGACTTAAGAACTAACTGACAAAAAACAAATGCAATCAAGATGTTGCTATGTTTACAGAGTATGAAAAACACAAAAGAAAACACAACACAATGCTAATGAAAACAAACAAAAATGCAACACGCAAACACTAAAGAAAAAAAAAATGCATAACATATACACAACTTAATGCAAACATAAACACATAGTGCCCGGAGCGCTAAATCGCACACGGCCGGGGTGCCAGCAGGGGCGCTAGCAGAACCGTCTGATTCAACTTAGTAAACGACTATAATACCCCAACTTATCCATAAAATAAAAAAATAAAAGGCAACATTTAAAGTATCCGTGTTTTACCTGCCACTGTGCATTTTATCAATCCATGCTAACTATAATATTCTAACAACAATGTCCTATTGAACGTCACATTTTTATTAGTTTGAGTTGAATTTCTTTTTAAATTACCTCCCCTACAAAAATTATAAAAGATTTTAATTAATTAGTTTTTTTACCCTACTTTTATTAATATGTATCAAATTTTTCTAGTTATCTAAGCGAAAGTATTATTTGACATTGATCTGTTTAAAATGTTTTAGCAATGTGCGTTTATTTAATATTTTATTTATGTTATGCGAATGAGAATAAACAGTGCCTACTATACAAAAAATGTTTAGTTGTATATAAATAAACCCTACAAAACTATTTATAATAAGACACAACTAAGGAAGTAAAAAGCAATACATGCAGTGAATTTACTTTTATGATTCCAACATCTATAGCAATGACTGACCGACTGACACACTAGTTTTATATTATAGATGTTTATTTATCTCTGACCCAACCTTTCCAACACTGCATTAGCCTTAACACTTTCATTGATACATTCAACAAAACTGCTAGCATTGATGAAGATTTGATATAAAGGTTGTCTGCCATCCTTTACTAACATAAAAATTGCCCTCATAAAATATGATTGTAATCACAAATAATTTGAAGAAAACACCCAGTATTTTATGAAAAATCAATTCTGAGCTAAAAAATTGTCTTTTACCCCCATGGTGACATTTTTGCTGCAGTTACAAACAAGAGTGACTACTTGTGGACATAACACAAACATACAAGACTGACACAGTAAGTAGCAAGGGAATGATCACCCTCAATAGCATGGCCAGACAGGATAAAAACCTCATCTAGTTATCACATGTGTCCAGTAACAGATGTGAACAGTTGATGTTGAAAGTAAAAGGGCTCGACTCAGTGGTGAACAAATTATTAATATTGAAAGTAGATGTACAAGTAAGGGCACAACAGCTATAATAAGAAGTAGTACTCTTACACCAACATATAATTTATCAAGACAAATATTTAGAGATGTTTGTCTTGAATAAATTCTTGTTTGTGAAGCTACTTGTATAAAAGGTGATGGTAATGTGAGGTTTGACACTGTATAAACAACTGTACATATAACACTTACCCTTGTGTCTATTCCTTTTTCTACGCTTTACTCTTAAGCTGACAGTCCTTGATTTTATGCACTGGATTCAACAAAAAAAAGGGAAATAAATTAACACACAATTACTGAAAAAGGTTTAAAATGTTTGAGTGTGGGTGTCGGAGCCCATCACCTCTGACCCAAAGTCTCATGTTCAGCTTCTGGACTATATCTTCTAGTTCTAATTACTCTACAGTTGACAGCTAAACTTAATAGGCACTACCTAAGTATTCTAGTCATAATTTTAAAGTGTACCATGAATATCTGTATGTAGTAGTAAAATACTCAGCGTGTTAATAGTAAAAGATTCATTATTTTTTAGACTTAGACTAGAAACCAATATTAGTAACTAATATCAAGATTACGACTATACTAGATACTACTGGTATAACCTACTACTACTCATACATTTTCCATATTTGACACAGTTTGTCAGTCACTTAGAATACTTGTCTTAAGAATGGTTGGTGTGTGGACCTGCTTTTACTTTCTGGTTTCAGGTCCACCCTACCAGATTCCTGATTTAGATTTCATTTAATTAATTAGGCCTACCCTAGATCTAGCTAAGTTTGCAAATAGTATAATTTAAGTCTAGTCTAAATCTTAGATTGATTTATCTAGGCCCTATCTTGCAAACTCAACTGTGACTGGAATCAGAATTTGCCATTTGGCATAGGCCCCTGTTTACTGTTTAGGCCTATTATTTTACAAGTTAGCTGTTAGGCCTACCCTATTTTGGCACTTCCAATGAATTTTTGAGTCAGTAAAACTGGACTAAACAGCAACTTACAGACTTACTAATACTTACACTACACTAAAATCCTACTACTTAACTACACTACTAGATCTAGTTACTAGAGACTAGAGTAGAGTTCTAGATTTTCTAGATCTAGAATCACTAAGAATCTAGATCTATTTTTATTAGACTTAGACTAAATTTAAATTCTTCATCGAACTCATGCCATTCTTGACAAAACTTTATAAATCTAAGCTGCATACAAAAAGAATATATCTAGAATCTAGATTCTAGATCTAGATCTAAAAGACTATGTTTTATTGTTTAGTGACTTAGGTAAAGTTGTTTTTCTTTTGCTTCCGCCTTGTGTAGTTTAATGTTTATGAGAGGAAGGAAGTGGAGAAGAGACAGAAAATCTAAATGCGTTTGAAAACAAACATGAAATGTTCCGCCATTCATACATAATGCGTTATAATGTGTACGCAAATAACCATAAGCCTGTCTTCTTTTAATGTGATCAATGCAAACTGTACCTGAGGTTATGATCTAATGAATTGCTCTTCTACCACTCTCCGTCACGGTAACCCAATTTACGTTCCAGTTATTTCAGTAATTCAATATGGCGGTGATAGATAAAAAATACAATGGCTGCCGCTTACAGTTGTTACAAATACAAATAGTTCCTCTCGTTAGAAAACACTAATATAAATTCTATCAAACTATGTCGTCAATGTTAAGAGAACATTTTTAGACGCCACTTTGTCTACACTAATTATTAATATGGCACTTACATTTGAATTGTTGTGAATGCATGATTTTAATTTTAAACAAAGGGAGAAAACAATTAAATTATTACGCTAAATATAACCGAATTTATAACTTCCCATCACAAAAACTTGAAAGATCTATAATGAAATGCGCGAGTTCCTTCAATACATAGGCTAATAGTTGACAGAATAGAGATTAACCTTTTTACCCTAGAAAGATGAACCTCGGAGCTAGGATCAGAAACTTAAATAATCCACGCGCTCTATTACGTGTTAAATTAGTCGTAGTCACATGCAGTGTTTCTTCCAGACTTTTTTCTCCGGGGGAGGGGGGGGGGGGGGGCAGTGGCGTAGCGAGGTCGGGTGTCACCCGGTGCGGCACTTAATGGTGTCACCCCCCCCAGAGGCGTTGCGACCCTTCCCGGGGACAAACTCATGTTTTCCGATTTGCACCCCCCCCCCCTCAAACTTTTGATTTGCACCCCCCCCCCCTCAAGTTTTTGATTTGCACCCCCCCCCCCTCAAACTTTCGATTTGCACCCCCCCTCAAGTTTTTCTCTATATATTTTGCTATTTTTTGCCTTGGTGTCACCCCCCTAAATGGTGTCACCCGGTGCGGTCCGCACCCCCGCCCCCCCCCCCCTCGCTACGCCCCTGGGGGGGGGCACTTGATATTTTCGGGGGGGGGGGCGGTCAACATTTTCCGGAGGGGCAGACACTAGTAAAAGTATATGTTTACTATATAAACTCCATCTCTTCGGGAGAGATGCCTGGAAGAAACTCGGGTCACATGAAAGTCAAAACTGAACACGACGGCATGTGGATAAACCTGCAGAGCGTAGCTGTGGGCACTGACCTGCTTGATGTATTTCTTCAAGAAATCTCTCGGACAATTTTTCACTGATCTCCCATTGACCTCTATGATTTCATCGCTGTTGTCTACATCTGGTTTATCAGCGGGACAACCTAAATGGTGACGATTCAACAATACATCATGTAAAAATTTCATTAGTCAAAGTTACACATCACATCATGTCAAAGTTTCACATAATTTTTTAACACAGCACATCAGACAGCCATTCAATACAAAACATACAATATTTTAACACAACAAATACAACCATTCAACGCAGCTAAATCAATAATCTAATAAGCTCACAATACACATCAAACTTCAAACATATCATCACACCATCCACTGATACAAATCTCACCGAATAGTTTCAGCTTGTGATCTTTTGTTTGAGCAAAAATAATGACGTAACCATCAAGATCCATGGCTGTTGAATGTATGAAGCAATGATTACTACTCTTTCTGTATTGGCATGTAGACACAGTGGCGTCGCTAGGTCGGGTGTCACCCGGTGCGTCATTTCATGGTGTCATCCCTCTGCACACACCAAAGGAAAAAGTATTATATATATATATATATATATATATATATATATATATATATATATATATATATATATATATATATATATATATACACACATGTGTGTGTATGATTGTCGAGATGGTCAATGTGTATTTATAAGACATTTAAACTCTAAATATTCAAATATCCATTAACTGAGCTGGCAAAAAGCATTTTCTTCTATATATTTTGCAATTATTCATCTTGGTGTCACCTCCCCCAAAGATGGTGTCACCCGTTGCGGTCCGCACTCCCACCTCGCACCCGCCCCCGCCTCGCACCCCCACCCTCGCGACGCCTCTGTGTAGACACATGACCTACGCCTTGATGTATACCTGTGTATGTCTTTTACATAGTCACACCAAATGTTGCAGGACCTACGCCTTGAAGCATACCTGTGTATGTCTTTTACATAGTACATAGTCTCACCATGTCTAAGTGTGTGACAGACCTGTCTCACCATGTCCAAGTGTGTGACAGACCTGTCTCACCATGTCCAGGTGTGTGACAGACCTGTCTCACCAATACTCACCATGTCCATGTATGTGACTGACCTGTCTCACCATGTCCAGGTGTGTGACAGACCTGTCTCACCATGTCCAAGTGTGTGACAGACCTGTCTCACCATGTCCAGGTGTGTGACAGACCTGTCTCACCATGTCCAAGTGTGTGACAGACCTGTCTCACCATGTCCAGGTGTTTGACAGACCTGTCTCACCATGTCCAGGTGTGTGACAGACCTGTCTCACCATGTCCAGGTGTAAAGCAGACCCTGTCTCACCCTGTCCATGTGTGTGACAGACCTGTCTCACCATGTCCAGGTGTGTGACAGACCTGTCTCACCATGTCCAGGTGTGTGACAGACCTGTCACACCATGTCCAGGTGTGTGACAGACCTGTCTCACCATGTCCAGGTGTGTGACAGACCTGTCTCACCATGTCCAGGTGTGTGACAGACCTGTCTCACCATGTCCATGTATGTGACAGACCTGTCTCACCATGTCCAGGTGTGTGACAGACCTGTCTCACCATGTCCAGGTGTGTGACAGACCTGTCTCACCATGTCCATGTATGTGACAGACCTGTCTCACCATCTGTCTCACCATGTCCAGGTGTTTGACAGACCTGTCTCACCATGTCCAGGTGTGTGACAGACCTGTCTCACCATGTCCAGGTGTGTGACAGACCTGTCTCACCATGTCCAGGTGTGTGACAGACCTGTCTCACCATCTGTCTCACCATGTCCAGGTGTTTGACAGACCTGTCTCACCATGTCCAGGTGTGTGACAGACCTGTCTCACCATGTCCAGGTGTGTGACAGACCTGTCTCACCATGTCCAGGTGTGTGACAGACCTGTCTCACCATCTGTCTCACCATGTCCAGGTGTTTGACAGACCTGTCTCACCATGTCCAGGTGTGTGACAGACCTGTCTCACCATGTCCAGGTGTGTGACAGACCTGTCTCACCATGTCCAAATCTCGTCAATTTTCTGTCACTTTATTTTCTACTTACCTGATTAATTTAAAAGCTCACAATTTTTCTTGAGAACAAAATGATGTTTTATTGACCGACTTTTCGAAATGAAAAGTCAGCCCGTTTGTGGGGGTGGGGAGGGGGAAAGGAGGGTTGTTGTCTGTGTGAGGAGTGATGCGTGGGTGGTTGATTTTGATCAATATTGGAAGAATAGCTTAGCCCAATCGTCTGCTTGTAGTTGTCGTTGTGAGCAGAGTGAACATCTAGATGTGGGGTAGTATTTCAAAGGGCTTTACTTCAACAATTCGTGGCATTCCATTCGAAAAGACGGGGCTGATTAAAACGTCGATAGGACGCGAACTTCTGCTTCCCTGACTGTAATCGAAGTCCAGACCCCAACAGCGATACCGGAAGAAAAGACATATCGATACGATACTTCGATACCGTATTGCTCTGACGACGAATTTTAGGATGAGAACTGACGATTCTTATGATTTTCTAGCTGCTACAGGGGTTAGCCTTTCATTGTGCTATTTGACCATGGTATAACTGGTACAACCCATAACGTTCTCACATAGGTTTAACCGATACAACCTTTTGTATTCAAGGACACAAGTTTGACCGGTACAGCCTCTGGAGCACGGGTTTAACCGGTACAACTCGGTGTTCTGGGACAAGGGTTTAACCGGTACAACTCGGTGTTTTGGGACAAGGGTTTAACCGGTACAACTCGGTGTTTTGGGACAAGGGTTTAACCGGTACAACTCGGTGTTTTGGGACAAGGGTTTAACCGGTACAACTCGGTGTTCTGGGACAAGGGTTTAACCGGTACAACTCGGTGTTCTGGGACAAGGGTTTAACCGGTACAACTCGGTGTTTTGGGACAAGGGTTTAACCGGTACAACTCGGTGTTTTGGGACAAGGGTTTAACCGGTACAACTCGGTGATCTGGGACAAGGGTTTAACCGGTACAACTCGGTGTTTTGGGACAAGGGTTTAACCGGTACAACTAAGTGTTCTTAAAGCGCAGGGGCAACCCAGTACAATTCATTTAGGGACAGACATGTGGGCAGATAATCGTGGAGTGACCGTCTGCCCCACAGAACCAACTGTCATTAGTTTAGTTTAATAAGGGAGATCACTTCCATTGATTTTCTAAGCCCTTGGGTTAGATCTCACGTGCCATTGTTTGTCTTCGCCGCGTCCTGTGTATGAAGCGATGAAAAATCACAAATTGTTTTTCTCGATAGTAAGAGTAATCTATCTGATCGGGCGAACCGGGCGGTTTGACCGTGGTATCCGACTTTCTCGTCCTTAGTTTAAACAAAAAGAAAAACGAAAGTTTGATAGAAATAAGCTCACTAGTCGATTGCGAATTTTTTTTTTTTTTGGTAGAGGGGGAAGGGGGGGGGGGAGGGGGGGGGGGAAGGAGAATCAGGAAGAGCAGACGTAACGAGATGATTTAACGGAAGTGCCTGGGGTCCAAAGATTTTGAAATGGCGAATCGATGGGTAATGAAGGATATGGGGTCTGAAATGAGATGAAGTATATTTGACGGTGCTTTAAAAATGATTTTATAAAACCAAAATGCGCTGATGTCCCGTGTTGTAACATTTAACGTTTGTGTTATTTATAGCGCGCTGTTCACGGGTCGGAATAATTAGTGGCCTCACATTCTTAGGCAAAAAATTGACAAGAGTTGTGTGTGTGTGGGGGGGGGGGGGGGGGGAAGGGGGTTGAAATGTGACGCGCATGCATGTTACATTTCTCAAAAATAAATTCAATCAAGAAACTTGATGTTATTTTCTTTCTGATTATCGTCCCACTGGAGGGAGATTTTTGATATTTCAAGGGGTCGGGATGTGTTTGTGGTGATAGAGTAGTGTTGGATGTGGGAGTTGGGGTTCGCTCAAATTGTTATCTGTCATGTATATAAAAACCAAACAACCCAGTACGTTTAAATGTGGGTAATAGCTTTATGTCTGGCCCCATCTTCCCACCATTCATG